GCTTTTCAGTTTCAGGAGGTCCCATTTATTGATTGTTTCTTTCAGTGTCTGTGCTACTGGTGTTCTATTTAGGAAGTGGTCTCCTGTGCCAATGCATTCCAGGTTACTTCTCACTTTCTCTTTTGTCAGGTTCAATGTAGCTGGATTAATGTTGAGATCCTTGATTCACTTGCACTTGAGTTTTGTGCCTGGTGATAGAAATGGATCTATTTGCAATCTTCTACATGTTAACATCCAGTTTTGCCAGCATCATTTGTTAAAGAGGCTTCCCTTTTTCTATTGTGCTATTTTGGCTTCTTTGTCAAATCACGTGTTCATAGGTGTGTGGGTTGAGATCAGAGTCTTTTATTCAATTCCACTGATCCATGTGTCTGCCTTTATAAAAGTACGAAGCTGCTTTTATTACCATAGCACTATAGTAGAGTTTGATGTCAGGGATGGTGATGCCTCCAGAAGTTCCTTTGTTGTACAGGGTTGTTTTAGCTATTCTGGGTTTTTGTTTTTCCATACGAACTTGAGTACTGTTCTTTCGAGGTCTGTGAAGAATTGTGTTGGGGATTTTTCTGGGAATTGCATTGAATCTGTAGATTGCTTTTGGTAGGATTACCATTTTTATTTTGTTGATCCTACCTATCCAAAAGCATGGGAGATCTTCCCATTTTCTGATATCCTCTTCAATTTCTTTCTTTAGGGACTTAAAGTTCTTATCATATAGGCCTTTTACCTCTTTGGTTAGTGTTACTTCAAGATATTTGATATTTGTGGCTATTGTAAAGGGTGATATATCTATGATTTGCTACTCATCCCCTTTATCAATTGTATCTAGAAGGACTACTGATTTTTTGAGTTAATCTTGTATCCCACCACATTACTGAAGGTGTTTATCAGCTGTATAAGTTCCCAGGCAGAGATTTGGGATCACTTATGTAGACTGTCATATCATCTGTGAATAGTGACAGTTTGACTTCTTCCTTTCCAATTTGTATTCCCTTGATCTTCTTTTATTGTCTTATTGCTCTAGCTAAGACTTTGAGTACCATATTGAATAGATAGAGTTCCTGATTTTAGTGGAATCACTTTAAGTTTCTCTCCATTTAGTTTGATGTTTTCTGTTGCTTTGCTGTATATTGCCTTTATTATGTTTATGTATGTGCCTTGTATTCCTGATCTCTCCATGGCCTTTATCATAAAGGGGTATTGGATTTTATCAAAGACTTTTTCAGTATCTAATGACATGATCATGAGTTTTTTTTTCTTTCAGTTTTTTTTATATGGTGGATCAAATTGATGGATTTTCATATGTTGAACCATCCCTGCATCTCTGGGATGAAGACTACTTGGTCATGGTGATTGATTTTTTTTATGTGTTCTTGGATTCAGTTTGCCAGTATTTTATTGTTTATTTTTGTGTCAATGTTTATGAAGGATATTGGCCTGTTGTTCTCTTTCCTTGTTGCATCTTTGTGTGAACTGGGTAACAGTTTACTGTAACCTCACAAAAGAAGTTTGGTGATGTTCCTTCTGTTTCTATTGTGTGGAACAATTTGAGGAGTATAGGTATTAGCCCTTCTTTGAAGTTCTGATAGAATTCTGCACTGAAACCATCTAGCCCTGGGCTTTTTTGGGGGGTTGGGAGACTTTTGGTGACTGCTTGTATTTTCTTAGGGGTTATAGGTCTATTTAGTTTGTTTCTCTGGTCTTGATTTAATTTTAGTATGTGGTACTTATCTAGAAAATTGTCCATTTCTTTTAGATTTTTCCAATCTTGTGGAGTACAAGTTTTCAAAGTATGACCTGATGATTCTCTGGATTTTCTTAGTGTCTGTTGTTATGTCCCCCTTTTCATTTCTGATTTTGTTAATTTGGATATTTTCTGTTCTTTTTGTTAGTTTGGATAAGGGTTTGTCTATCTTGTTGATTTTCTCAAAGAGCCAACTCTTCAGCTTATTGATTCTTTCTACTGTTTTATTTGTTTCTACTTTATTGATTTCAGTCCTTAATTCGATTATTTCCTGTCATCTACTTCTCCTAGGTGAGTTTGCTTCTTTTTGTCCTAGAGCTTTCAGTTGTAAAGTTAATACACTAGTGTGGATTTCTCTAACTTCTACATGTAGGCATTTAGTGCTGTAACTTTCCTCTTATCGCACTTTCAAAGTGTTGCATAAGTTTGGGTATATTGTGCTGTCATTTTCATTGAATTTTAGGAAATCTTTAATTTCTTTTTTATTTCTTCCTTGACCCAGTGGTGATTCAGTTGAGCTTTTGGGCTTCCTGCAATTAGTGTTGTTGTTGAATTCTAACTTTAAATCATGGTGATCCAATAAGATACAGGAGGTTATTTAACTTTTTGGTTTTTTACATAAATTTTTATTTACATTAGAAGCAATCTTATTTTACATACCAATCCCAGTTCCTTCCCCCTCCCATCCTCCCATGTCCCCCACCAATCCCCCATCCACTCCCAGGTAGGGTAAGGCCCTCCATAGGGGATCATCAAAGTCTATCTGTCACATCATTCGGGGCAATGCCTAGATCCTTCCCCATGTATCTAGGCTGTGAGAATATCCCTCCATTGGGAATGGGCTCCCAAAGTTTTCTTTGTTGATGAGTATGTGGTCAGATTTAGAGCAGGTTCCATGGGGTGTTGAGAAGAAGGTGTATTCTTTTGTGTTTGTGTGGAATCTTCTACAGATGTCTGTTAAGCCCATTTGAGTCATAACATCTATTATGTCCCTTATTTCTCTGTTAATTTTCTGTCTGATAGACCTGTCCACCGGTAAGAGTGGTATGTCAAAGTCTCCCACTATTAGTGTATGGGTTTGATGTGCAATTTATGCTTTAGTACTGTTTCTTTTATGAATGTGGGTGCCCTTGTAGTTGGGACAGGTATATTCAGGATTGAGACTTCTTCTCTCTGGATTTTTCCTTGATTAATATGAAACATCATTTCTTTTGATTACCTTAAGTTTGAAGTCTATTTTGTTAGATATTAGAATAGCTACACCAGCTTGCTTCTTAGGTCCATTTGATTCGAAAGACTTTTCCCAACTCTTTACTCTAAGGATATGTCTGTCTTTGAGTTGAGGTAGGTTTCTTGTATGCAGAAGAAGGATGGATCCTTTTTCCATATCCATTCTGTTAGCCTAGGTATTTTTATAGATGAATTGAGTCCATTGATATTAAGGGATATCAATGACCAGTGATTGTTGATTACTGTTATTTTTTGGTGGTGTTGTGTATGTGTGTTTCCATTATTTAGGATTTGCTGGTGTGGAAGTATTTATTTTCTGTGCTTCTCTGGGAACCTCTAGACTCTTTGGGTTAGAGTTTTCCTCCTAGTGCTTTCTGTAGGGCTGAGTTTGAGAATAGGTATTGTTTAAATCTGGTTTTGTCACTGAAAGTTTTGCTGGGTATAGTAATATGGGTTGGCATACATAGTCTCTTAGAGTCTGCATAATGTCTGTCCAGGATCTTCTGGATTTGAGAGTCTCCATTGAGAAGTTGGGTGTTACTCTGATGGGTCTGCCTTTATATGTTACTTGAACTTTTTCCCTTGCTTGTCTTAATATTCTTTCTTTATTCTGTACAGTTTGTATTTTGATTATTGTGTGGCAACAGGACTTTTTTTGGTTCAATCTACTTGGTGTTCTGTAAGCTTCTTGTATCTTCATAGACATTTAGTTCTTTAGGTTGGGAAAGTTTTCTTTTATGATTTTGTTGAATATATTTTCTGTGCCTTTGAGATGGTATTCTTCTCCTTCTTCTATCCCTATTAGTCTTAGGTTTGGTCTTTCACAGTGTCCCAGATTTCCTGGACATTTTGTGTTATGACTTTGTTGGCTTTAATGTTTTCTTTGACTGATGAATCTACTTCCTCTATCATATCTTCAACGCCTGAGATTCTCTCTTCCATCTCTTGCATTCTGTTGGTTATGTATCTTGTAGTTCTCATTCATTTACTCAGATTTTCCATTTCCAGAATTCCCTCCATTTGTATTTTCTTTATTGCCTCCATTTCAATTTAAGTCTTGGACTTATTTTTTTTTGTTTCTTCTTGGTTTTCTTGGCTTATACTTTAAGGGTTTTATTTATTTATTTCAATTTTTGTTTATCTTTTCCTCAATTTCTTTAAGGGAATTCTTCATTTTTTCTTTAAGTGCATCCATCATCTTAATTAAGTTATTTTTAAGGTCATTTTCTTCTGCTTCTTCTGTGTTGGGATGTTCAGGTCTTCCTGATGTAGTACCACTAGATTCTGGTGTTGCCATATGTCTCATTAGATTGTTTAATGTATTCTTGTATTGACTCTTCTTTTCTTTGATACAGGCAATGTCTTTGCCTCTTGATCCAATCCTGTTAGTCCTTTCTCTCAGTCTCTGTGCAGTTGATATCTGTTTTCCAGGGAGCTGCCCTCAGTCCCTCTGTACAGTAGATGTCTGTGTCCAAGGGAGCCACTTAGGTCACAGGGGATGGGTGGGATTGTGGGTGGAGTGGGATTTGTAGGTTACAGGGTCCCATGGGGGAAGGCTGTTGGTGGAGTCTGTCTGAAGGAATCTTTCCTGCTTCCCTGCTAGTGTGGCTGAGATGGGTGGGGGAAAGACCTGGGGTTTTTCCTCAGGACCTAGGGCCTAGATGCTGTGTGGTCCAGATGGGAAGCTGGTCACTCACTCCTCAGTCCTCTCTGTACAGTAGATGTCTATGTCCTGGGTAGCTGCTGAGCTCAACAGGCGATGGGTGGGCTTAGGGGCAGAGAGGGATTTGTGGGTTACAAAGTCCCATGGGGGGGCTGTTGGTGGAGTCTGCCTGCAGGAGTCTTTCCTGCTGCCCTGCTAGTATGACTGAGATGGGTGGGGGAAGGGCCCGGGGTTTTGCCCCAGAACCGAGGGCCTAGAGACTGTGTGGTCCAGATGGAAAGCTGGCCACTCACCTCTCAGTTCTCTCTGTGCACTATCTCTTGCTTTTTCCCACAAGGTTTGCTCTGTGCTTCTTGACCTCATAAGATGAATCAGAACAGCAAGCTGTACACTAACGCTAACATTAGAAACATCTTCTTCTCTGAGATTATCATTGGGATCTCAGGCAACAGTGTCCTTCTCCTCTTCCATGTCCTCATGCTCAGTAGTGAGCACAAACCCAGACTCACTGACCTGCCCATTGGCTTCTTGGCTGTGATTCACCTACTGAAGCTTCTGGCTGTGAGCTTCATAGCTACAGATATATTCGTGTTTCACCAAGGATGGGATGATACTACTTGTAAATCTCTTATCTTCTTATACAGATTTTTGAGGGGCCTCTCTGCTTGTGCCACCTGCTTGCTGAGTGTCCTCCAGGCCATCACTCTCAGCCCCAGACATTCATGTTTAGCAAAATTCAAAAAGAATTTATCCCCATGTCACAACTTATGGTCCCTGTTTGGCTTTTGTTCTGTCTATTCATCCATTTCCAGTTACCTTTTCATCTCCATGGTTATCACCCCTAATGTGACCTCAGACCACCTACTGTATATTACTGAATCCTGCTCTCTTCTACAACTCAGTTTCACTGTGAAATACATAATGTCCACATTGTTCATCTTCAGGGAAGCATTCCTCATCGGTGTCATGGCCCTCTCCAGCATGTACATGCTGATTCTTCTGTGCAGGCACAAGAAGCAGGTCCAGCATCTTCACAGAACCAGCCTTTCTCCAAAAGCATCTCCAGAGCAAAGGGCCACGCGGACCATCCTGCTGCTCTTGAACTTCTTCGTGCTGATATCCATCCTGGACAGTCTTATGTCATTCTCAAGGCATATATTAAAAGATGATCCAATATTCTACTTGATCCAGATTCTTATAAGCCACAGCTATGCCACAGTCAGTCCCTTTGTGTTCATCAGCACTGAAAAGGATATAATTGGCCTTTTAAGGTCCATGTGTGAGAGGATAGTGACTATTTGATTACTCAGTGATGGGTAAGTGTCCTCTAGATGAGACTATATTAGCTATGAATCTCTATTAACATGTTGTATGGCCAAGATTTTCTTCAGGAGGATTCAGTTCACACCATGCTGTGTGGCTCAGTCATAGAAGACTAGTCCTGCCTCAGGGCTCCAGTATCATGCCTTCTAAGTGCAGGGTTTTCTATTGGGTCAAAACTCCACATTTATAGGCTGAGAAGATGGTCTGTGGGTAAGAAGACTTGCTATGCAAAAGCAACGATCAGAGTGCAATACCCTAGCTTACATGAAGAAGTGGGTTTTGGCCATGCATATATATCCACAGCAACAGGACAAAGAGATGGGATGATCCCTGGAATTCCAGATATAGCTAGTCAATAGGCTATATCTGGAATCAGTGAGAGACCTTATCTAGACAGATAAGACAGACAGCAAAAGAGAAGGACATCTGATGGGCTTTTCTTACTTCAACACCTGTGCAGGGACACAGACACATACACACAATGAACCCTCAAAGTCAAAGTTTAAATAGTGAATCAGATAGGAAAAATTACCCAGCTTTGATATCAACTAATGTCATGAAAAGTATGGTCTTGCAATACTATTCTTAATTGAAAAAATAAATTAAATGTAAGAATCTACTCAAGGTGTATTTTTATGTCAATGACAGTATCATGTGTCATCTTAAAAGAGCAATTTGGGGCAGTGTTACAAATGAAAAATACCACTCATGTCTATGAGCAGTGATGTCACTGTTGATGCTTAGATCCCATTACTTAGCCTTTATGGTCATTTAAAAATAGCTTAAGTCCTAGGCAATGCAAATAGGACATCTGGAGAAAGATTGTGACATGTCCTTTCTACCCTTTGAGCTAGTCAAAATGCTGATAATGGGCTATAAGCTAATCAAATTGAATGTTGTGAATGACATAACAGGAGAGAATATTTGCAGCTATGTAAAGAGAATACTGGAATTTTGGGGAGAAATAAAGAAACCATTAAACAGAAACCTATAAAAATATGAACATATTCAATTGTTGTGGCACAAGCTTTTAATGCCAGCACTTGTTTTGAGGGGCAGAGTCATGCAAAACTCTGTGAGTTCAAGGCTACCCCAGTGTATATAGAGAGATCTGGGACAGCCAGGGCTACATGGTAAGACCTTGTCTCAAAAAAAAAAATCAATCCCTCCTAGATTTCCAGTTCTTTCTAGAATAATGTTTCCATCTATAGTGTCTATTTAATAGTTGACACAAGACACACGTTGTTTAAAGCAGTCTGTTCAAATTATAAAGCCAGGAATAGTAATCACTCCATGTGAAATCATTGTACTTGTTTTCTTTTTTGAAATTTAGTCTCTCAGTCTAGCCAAGCCTAGCCTTGAACTTACAATCCTCCTGCCTCAACTGTGGAGTCATCACATTATTCAAACATCAGGAGTGCACCACCAGGTGACTGCAGGCTTCAGCTGCAGGTCACCTAGTCCTGTTTTGTCACAGGGCTCTTAATGCTTTAGGTAAATGTGTTTTAGCTCTGTGGGTGATGAAGCAAAATTGTGTGTAGCCTCAGAGCTTATTTCTGCCTCTGTCAATGAGGTCGATGCTGATCTTTCAGGCTCCTTATGGAGCAGAGCCAGCCTGGTCTCCACCCCAGCTAATTCCAACTGCCTGTGGTCACCTTGGCACTCCAGCTCTGCCTTGACTTTTACATTCCATCTAATTTCTGTTACAGTTCACTTTCAAATTTCCTCACGGCTAAAGTCCTGAGACTGGGAGTCTGGAAATATTGGGAAACAGAATCAACACTACCTAGAAAACAAGAGTTCCATGGGAAGACTGGTCCAGGAGAGGCTGCTTGTCACACTATAGAGGGAGAACCCTTAGGTAGAGAGGGAACTCATAGGAGACCCAGGAGGCCTACATCCCAGAAGGCATCATGGTGATGAAATTGGTCCAAATTAAGTCTAAGGAGTAAAGTGAGAAAAGTTAGGGTTGTCCATTTGACATAAACTTTCAGATCCCTCCTGCAGCAAGGGAGCTCAGATAAAGTTTGTGATCAGCTCTCCCCGGGTGGTTGTTATCCAGGACAGAGTAAGTACTGTGACAGGCAGGTATGGTGTTCCACTGGGGTGCCACATTTCCCAGCTCCAAGAGGGAACTTGTCATCTTCGACAGACACTAAAATTACAAACCACAGAGATGCATTAAAAGCCCCCCTCACCTAAGCCTGTGCAGATCTCCTCGGGCAGAGTCCTCCCCTGCCACATCCATCTGGGTAAGTGCTCTGCACCCAAGTGCAGAATCAGAAGGTGGTCAGGTCCAGGCAGGCCTTGGGAGGAGGAGCAGTAGGGCTCAGAGGTTTTGAGCATCTTCAGAGGGGGCACTGAGCTCTGACAGCCCCTGATCACTATGTGCTCAGAGGGACTTTCTTCTTAGGATATTCATTTCCTTAGTTTAAGGACTCTCAAAATTGATTTGTAATTCCCATCTATGCCTATGAACTAAGTAACTCACAATGAATTGCTGGAGAAGTTGTCAGGTTACAAACATTTTACTGATTTACCTATTCCTAAGACAAACTGTCAGAGAGAACTGAAAGGTCAGGAGTTCTGACTTTAATTAAATGTCTTCAGTCTTGAGTCTATCACTTTGGTACATGCAGCAGAACTATTTTGACCTAAGTTCTTCTGAGTTTATGTTACCAAAGCTTTAAAAATCTCTTTAAGAACCAAGGGCGAAGAGTCTGAACCACACCCCCACAGAGGGCAACTTACAGGATTGCAATGTGCCTGCCAGTGTTTGCCCATGGTCACTATTCAACCCCATTCAATTTCTGAAATCACAACTAGTGGTGTTGGTTCTTAGCCTCTGCCAGCCTGGTAGGAACTGTTGCTGACTGGCAACAATAGTGAGGTTGCCAGGACAATAATTATTAAATTACAGTGAACATGGTGGTAGGTGTCTTCCCTGACTCACTGAGACCCAGGAATAGAATGTCTTGGGAAAAGTGGTTCCATGTTTTATCTTTTCTCTACTTTCTTCCCATGCACTGCATATAATTTTTTTATAATGGAAAAACCTGAATCTCATTTTGTTTTGGGAAATTTTTGGACAACTGAACTCTATCCTGCCTTACTGTCTCTACTTGGTTTTCAACACCAAACCTCATCTTTTCATGAACTTATGCAAGAGGTGGACAGGTACTGACTCTCTTCTTTTGTCACTGAGGCAATGAACGTATTGGCAGCAGGTCACAGCCCTAGCAGCAATGCCCAGTCTCTCAGGAGGTGTCACTGGGTGGTGAGGGAAGCAGGCTGTGCCGCAGCACTGTGTGGTGTCCAGTGTTGGTGGCTCATGTCTGTGCCATGCTGCTCCTCTGGAGGCATCTTCTTTCTGGAGGTTGATTTAGAAACCCCAGGTGACATTCTTATTGCCAGTGTGAGCCCAGAGACACGGATTCAAAGGTTTCAGAATTTAAAAATACAGTTCTCACACAGTCTTTCAGAAACAGATGCTGTTCCTTAGCCCAAAGGCTCCTCATAATCGCCCATCACATTCCAACGGTTCATTTATTTCTAGCATTTCTGGAAACAGTGTTGGCATATGCTTGGTGATGGTTTTCCCTTCCCTGGTGTGCCAGCCATTTCTCCCTAATGTCTTCCTAGTTTTAAAGTTAGGATTTTGCCAAAGGCAAAATCACAGCCTGACTAAGTGATCTCATCCTCAAGCCACTTGCATGAAGAAGGATCAGTGCCACATACCAAACCTCTCTCTCTCTTTTGTGATCCTATGAATTGTTGGATGTCCATCGTTTGGGTAACTGTGGGATGACACAAAGTCTGAAGTCATGGCTTTGTTTCAGACAGAACAGGGAGTTTCAATTCCTCTGTCCTGAGCAACCACAGCCTTCACAGTCAGCTTTAACTGAGGAATTTTAGATTCCTCTTTGTCATTTCTGGCTCCATGCATGTTTTCTTTTCCTAATCCTCCAAACATCTTCCCTTCCTCCCCTCCAACATAGCCTCTATTCTTATATCTTTGGTTGTGAACCTAGCCTTTAACGACTGAGATATCCCTCCAGCCCCATAGCCTCAATTCTGTACATAGCATCTATTTCATGAATCTGGGACCTTTCCTGGCACTATGTACAGAATTTCATGTCTCTGGAAAGCAGCCTGTTTTGTTATGCTGTGTAAAATCAGTCACAGTGTATGATACAAGAGGCTATCCCAGGCTATCTCAGGCTACCCCAGGCTGTCACAGCTCACTCTCTCCTGCCCTCTGTTAGACGAGTGTCCCCTTAAATCATTCTGAGCATCTGAGAGTGTCAGTCTGCCTCCTAACCCATGCTCAGCTAGGAAGGTGTGAGCTGTTGAGGTTCAGCTGGAAGGGGACAGGCTAGAGGATTCCTTGTGGCTTGTCCTTGAGAAGGGGTCATACTTAGCAGAACATTTTCTCTAAGAAATGATACATCTGCCTAGAATCTATGTACCGTACTGATTCTTACTGTTTAAAGTTGCGATAAATTTTTATGGTGCATGTAATTTGCAGGTAGGGGGATGACTTCAGAAATGTCGCCTCTGTCTCTCCTGGCAAGATGGTGTTTGTGATGACAAGCAGTCATGTCAATTTTCTCTTTTGCTAATATGGAATTCCACTTCCAGAAAATAAGGTTTTCCAGTGGCTTCAAAGCAGGGATTTTTGAGAATATCCCTGAGGATTCATGACACCTACCTGCACCCATGTGGCTTTCCTAAGTGCTTTCGGATTGCAGGGCTGTTGTTTCTGAAGTGATGCTGAAAACAACCCAGCCCATGCCCTGCTCTGCAGAGCTGACAGCGCACTGCCTGGGCAGTCTGACAATAAGATTGTTCATGAACATCAAGTTCCCTTTCTTCTCTGGCTAGTTCAGTGGAATTAAGGGGAAAATGCACATTTCCAGAAACAACATGACAAAAAACATTCTAGAACTCTTTTGCTTCTTAATTAGCCAGTACTAATGTGCATGTGATACAGACAGGTGTGTGTTTTCTTCCATGAAATAAGTGTCTAAAACACACACTTGCCCCTCAGTGCACACAGATCACAAAATGGCATTCACAGTGTGTGCTCCTGATGACATCTGTCCCATAAAACTTGGAGACAATGGAGTCCTATTACTCTCTCCTTTGTTTCCCTGGGTTCTCATGGCACAGCTCAAATGCTTGAGTTCTTCAAAGTTGAGGAGACTGCCATTTTACCTAATCACTGGAAAATGTAACTGTGTGCTTCTCTTCCACCCCTCCCTCCTTACTGTATTCTGTTCTTCTGACTGGGATAACAAACCCATAAACTTTATAAAGAACTTTATAATTCAATGGTAGCAATTAAGCACCACTTATTTAATCAACACTCTGCTGCTATCTGGAATACATTATAAAGTATAGTGTATAAATACATTAACCCTTTCTAACAATGCTATAGAATTTTTATTTCAGAAAATCTTTGTGAAATGTTTTCACCAACTATCTGCCTCAGGCCTAAATCCTTAAACTGTACCCTGTACTTGTGAATTTTATCCGCTTTGCCTTTCCTTATTATCTACCATAATAGGTATTGGTCTAAATACGTATAAAACAATTTTACCCTACACGTTCAGTGATAAATTTTTACTGTGTAACAGGAATGTGTTTTCAACATTACATGCCCCACATGCATGGTGTCTGTACATGCTAGTTTTATTCAACTTGGCACAAGTTAGAATAATTGTAGAAGAAAGAACCTCAATTGAGAAAATGCCCCTACCAGGCTAGCCTGTGGGCAAGCTCCTGGTACATTTTCTTGATTGATGATGATTTGATATGGGAGGGCCTAGCTCACTATGGACAATCCCACCCCTGGGCTGGTGGTCCTGGGTGCTATAAAAAAGCAGGTTGATCAAGGTATAAAGAACAAGATGGTAAACAACACTACTCTATGGCCTCTCCATCAGTTTCTGCCTCTAGGTTCCTGTCTTGAGTTCTCTCCCCAACTTCTCTGGATAATGACCTACAAGCTGTATGGCGAAATGATCCCTCTCCATACCAACTTACTTTTTGTTATGGTATTTATCACAGCAACAGAAATCCTAACAAAGACAGAAATTGGTAATAGGTCATGATGTATTCCTTTGATAGGCATGACCATCTGTTTTTGTGGAAGGACTTTGAAACTTTTGGCTGCAAAACCCATAGATTGTTGATATCTTTGTGGGTTATTCTGTGTGATCCTAGAATATAATGGTGAGAGCATGAATGGTATAGAGGATGGAGATGACACAAGTAGTCCCAGAGGGAAGTTTAAGAGTCCCTTAAATATTCTATGAGGGTCATTCGTATTTTGAATTAAGAACCACTAAAGCAAAACCTTCACCTTGCTGCAACAATTAAAATCTGCTGCCAAGTGTTTTTCTCACATGGACACTGTGGTCCAGATACTGCTGAGGCTGCATCTCACACTGGCAGCCAAAGTTGTTAGTGTGAGAGTCTCTTAGGTGGTATTGGTTTTGAAATCATGAAGGGATCATAGAGTGAAGTTGTGGCTTGGCACCATGTGACAGGGTTAGAGTCCCTGCAGAGAGCCAAGGAGAGGCTACAGATGTTAAGATTCAGCACAATTGCAGTGCAGATCCAAGCAATTTGGAGATGCCAGTATAACGGGACAACAACCAAGGACAGCAGCTGCTGTGGAATGAAGCCAGTTTGAGCCTAGAAGACAGCTGTGTGTGCTAGGGGCAGCTTTCCAAGCACGGTGGAGGAGCCCAGAAGACCATTAGTGAGTCCCAGAAGCCTGACCTGAGATTTACAATATTGGACTTTGTTGAACTTGATTGTCACTGTGTCCTGGTACTTCCCTTATCAAAAACTTTAGAAGGCCATCTTCTAAAATTTTTACTCAGAGTTCAAAAAAGGGAGTTACAAATAAGTGAAGGAACTAAAATCTGAGAGAAAAAGTAATTGACTCACACACAATTACTCCTCTGCTTGGTCTCTATTCTTCTTTTGCTCTTTCTCGCTTGCTGTTATCTGTTTCTCTTTTACTCTGTTTCTTTGTCTCTGTTTTCTGTTTCTGTCTCTGTCTCTCCCCAGTTCTTGGGGATACAGGTATATATACAGTTGCAATATTATTTCTTTTTGCAATACAATATGAGGCTTGAGTTTCTCAGGGTCAGCAAGGCAGATAAGATTTACACACAGAGCAATAAACTAAAACTGTGAAGAGAAGCTTTTTAGCATCAATTGTTTAGGACTATAGGTCAAAGAGAGGGTCTAAGTTTAATTTGCACAAGAAACAAAACCTGGTGCCTTCTAGTGTTCTAGCCTCAGTGGTAGCAAAGGCCTTCAGGAAAGTTATTTTTCCCTGAGGATGAGCAAATGGGCTGATTGCATTTGTCTTTATCTTCTCACCGGGAAGCAGTGAGCCTTTGAGCTAAAATCTTGAGTTAATACTTTAGGAGGTTTGAGAATCTTTTAGTGCAGGGTTAGTTTATGTTACTGCTTCTCTATCTGCCAGTGAGGTAAAAAACCAGGGCATGCTTATTTTTTTTCTATCCATCTAGGCAGCTGTGGATTAACAACATTGGGTATGTAGTGATTCTATGTCCTTGGATACTTGGGATGTCTTAGACAGAATGCTTTTGCCTGGGCCCTAAACACTGACCAAATGTCTGTCAATAAAGGTAATTGCAAGAAGGCAGATCTCTGCAATTACAATGGAGAGGGGAACAAGGACCTCATAACGGGAAACAGGTCTCACACATAGCTAAGGGATGTAATCAGTAAACTAGGATGTTAATGGTGAACAGTTTTTACACATAGCTAGGGAGTGTAATCAGTAAACTCTGAATGCATGGGGGAATTTGTTCCTAGTATCGTCAGATAGTGCTAAACAGTGGGAAGTAAATTCCAAGCTGGTGGCAGAAAGAAATAAGCTATAGGAAGAACCTACAGCAAGAAACAGCCAATTCATTCACGAGATTATAATGCCAAGTATAACTTTTGTACTGGTTAATTCATCAGGAGAATTCTTAGTTCTTCTGAGTTATCTCATGATACAATGGCTGTATAATTACTGTGTGATCTTGAGGCTTGTAGCATTCCCTTTTGGGATACAAAATACTTATTGATTTATTTATTTAGATATTAAATATTTTTTATTTTATATATAAATTTTATTTAAACTAGAAACAATCTTATTTTATATATCAATCCCAGTTCCCTCTCCTTCCCATCCTCCCATGCCCCCCACCACCCTTCCCATCCCTTCCCCCATCCACTCCCCAGGGAGGTCGAGCCCTTCCATGAGGGATCAACAGAATCTGTCATTTCATTTGGGGCAGGGCCTAGGCCCTCTCCTGTGTGTCTAGGCTGAGAGAGTATCCCTCTGTGTGGAAGGGGCTCCCAAAGTCCGTTCATGCACTAGGGATACATCCTGGTTCCACTGCCAGAGGCCCCATAGACTGCCCAGTGCTCCAGGCTGACACCCATGTTAGGGGTCTGGTTTGTTCCTATGTTGGTTCCCCAGCTGTCAGACTGGGGTCCATGAGTTCCTATTTGCTCAAGTCAGGTGTTTCTGGGGGTTTCCATCATGGTCTTGATCCCTTTGTTCATCACTCTTCCCTCTCTGAAACTGGATTCCAGGAGTTCAGTTCAGTGCTTAGCTGTGGATCTCTGCTTCTGCTTCCCTCAGCTAATGGATGAAGGCTCTAGGATGGCATTTAAGGTAGTCATCATTCTCATTATAGGGGAAGGGAATTTAAGGTAGCCTCTCCACTATTGCTTAGGTTCCTAGTTGGGGTCATCCTTGTGGATCTCTGTACAATTCCCTAGTGCCAGATTTCTCTCTAAACCTATAGTGGCTCACTCTATTGATGTGTCTCTTTTCTTACTCCTCTACTGCTCTCCCCACTCAATCTTTCTGATCCCTCATGTTCTCCCCCTCCTCCTCCTCTCCCCTTCTTTTTTTCCTCCATCCCTCCCTCTCCCCCATGCTCCCCATTTTTTCAGGGGCTCTTGTCCCTTTCTGCTTCACTGGGGACCATGTATGTTTCTCTTAGGGTCCTCCTTGTTTCCTAGCTTCTCTGGAGGTGTGGATTGTAGGCTGGTAATCCTTTTCTCTGTATCTAATATTCTAATATGAGTGAGCATATGTTTGTCTTTCTGTGACTGGGTTACCTCACTTAGGATGGTTTCTTCTAGTCCCACCCATTTGCCTGCAAATTTCAAGATTCCATTTTTTCCTGCTGAGTAGTACTCCATTGTGTAAATGTACCACATTTTCTATATCCATTCTTCGGTTGAGGGGCATCTAGGTTACTTCCAGGTTGTGACTATTATAAATAATGCTTCTATCAGCATAGTTGAACAGATGTCCTTGTTGTATGAATGTGCATCCTTTGGGTATATGCCTAAGAGTGGAATTGCTGGATCTTGAAGTAGACTGGTTCCTATTTTCTAGAGAAACTGCCATACTGGTTTCCAAAGTGGCTGTACAAATTTGCACTCCCACCAGCAATGGAGAAGCTTTCCATTTTCTCCACATCCTCTCTAGTATAAACTGTCATTGGTGTTTTTGATTTTAGCCATTATGACACGTATAAGATGATATCTCAGAGTTGTTTTGAGTTGCATTTCCCTGATGGTAAGGATGTTGAACAATTTCTTAGTGTCTTTCAGCCATTTTAGATTCCTCTATTGAGAACTCTCTGTTTAGTTCTGTACCCCACTTTTTAATTGAATTATTTGGTGTTTTAGTGACTAGCCTCTTGAGTTCTTTGTATATTTTGGAAATCAGCCATCTGTCTGATGTGGGGTTGGTGAAGATCTTTTCCCATTCTGTGGGCTGTCATTTTATCTTGTTGACTGTGTCCCTTGCCTTACAGAAGCTTCTCAGTTTTAGGAGGTCCCCTTTGTTGATTGTTTCTCTCAGTGTCTGTGCTACTGGTGTTATGTTCAGGAAGTGGTCTCCTGTGCCAATTCATTCAAGGGTACCTCCCACTTTCTCTTCTAAGAGGTTCAGTGTGGCTGGATTTATGTTGAGGTCTTTGATCCATTTGGACTCAAGTTTAGTGCGTGGTGATAGGTATGGATCTATCTGCAATCTTCTACATGTCATATCCAGTTATGCCAGCACCATTTGTTGAAGATGCTTTCTTTTTCCCATTGCATAGTTTTAGCTTTTTTGTCAAAGATCAGGTGTTCATAGGCGTGTGAGTTAATATCAGGGTCTTCAATTAGATTCCATTGGTCTATCTGTCTATTTTTGTGCCAATACCAAGCTGTTTTCATTATTATAGCTCTATAATATAGCTTGAAGTCAGGGATGGTGACACCTCCAGAAGTTCCTTTATTGTACAGTGTTGTTTTGGCTATCCTGTTTTTTTTGTTATCTCTTCAGATCATATAAATCTTTCATCTTTTACAAAAATATTTAAATTAATTTTTTTATTCTACAGGAGCCCACAGGTAAGAGACTTCAAACTTTTAATGAGATATGTGTATTTTAAAGGGATTTTGAAGTTCTAGAAAGAGGATGGGTATTTTTTATAGCAACTCTGAAACTGTTAGAGAGACTTTGACATTTTAGAGACTGGACTATTTTGGAGAGGCTATGGATGTTTTAGGGAGAGTTAACTTTTAAAGAGTGGAACTTTTAAATTTTGGAGTCTTTTCAATATTTTGAAGTTGATACCAGTAATAATACCTTGAGAACACCAGGAGAGGAAAGGTTATAGTGTAACAGTGGTGTGTTTGTGTGTCAAGCTGATAAGGGGTCAACTATGCTGACATTTTTTTTTGTCAAGTTGACACAAGTTAGAGCCATTTGGGAAGGGGGAAACTCAACTGAGAAAATACACCCACCAGACTGGCCTGTGGGCAAGCTTGTGGTGTGTTTTCTTGGTTGATGATCGGTGTGAGAGGGCCCAACTCACTGTGGGCATGGGTCCTGGATTGGTAGCCTGGGTGCTTAAGAATACAGCCAGAGAAAACCATGAGGCACAAGCCAGTAAGCAGTCTTCCATGGCCTGCACATCAGTTTCGGCCTCCTGGTACTTGCCTTAAGTTCCTTCCCCAGCTTTCCTGGATAATGGACTACCAGTTGCAACATGAAATAAAGGCTTTCCTCTCAAACTTGCTTTTGGATATGGTATTTTAGTTAGTCAGCGTCTAATCAAATAAACTGCAACAATTCAAAAACATTCATACCACATTTCTTAATAAGAATTTGGAGTTGGCATATCTGGAATCTGGAGAAGTATCACAGCTCACGTAAGCAGAGAAGGAATCTTAGACTCCTATGAAGCCCATCTATCAAGACTGAGTTGGACTGTGTTTAGTTAGTCCCATAAAAAGGGATAGGATAGCCCCGAGTCTGTAATAATTGTAGGTCTAATTACCCCAACTTCACATGCTGAGGAGAAGAACATGGAATATGCTCCTGCTGACCTTATATTTTGCTTCTCCCATGGAGGCAGCTCTGGAATGAGATTAGAAACAGGGAAGATGCAGTTGCAGAGCAGCACTCAAAGCTAAATTGTCCATCAGAGTCTCACCCCAATTTTTCTACTCTTTGTGATTATCGTTTATCTTCTGTTTCAGGCAGGGGCAGAGCTGACCAGCCACTGTGAGCTGCCTTAACTCTCCCAGCACATAAGCATGCGGCACTGCGTCAGAAAACCAGCAGCCGGAACGCTGACAGACCAGCGTGTGCTGGAACACTGTCATGTTTTGTGTATATAAAGCATGTCCTTACATACCTAGTGTCTCCCTGGCACAGGAACGTGACTGTCCATATGTTCCAGAGGAGGTGGCTGAAACTCAGCCTCAGAGATTGCTAAAGGTCACACTTGGAGGAATCAGAGATCACGGGTGGAATGTGGTGAAATGTCTGGATTCATAGTTCACAATTCCCAACATTTGCCGTAGAACTATATTAAGAAATTTAGTTTTACAATAAATAAAGACAGCCCTGAGTAGAATAAGTGCTTGCCTGATCCATGGGCCCTCTGTCATTGGGAAGGGCTGGTTTCTCCTTTTACACAACCATCCTCATTCAAACTCATCCTAAATAGTCCAACTGTCTATAATGTACCTGGCAAGCAAGACGTTGTGAATGAAAACCAAGTAAGATGCTGCTCCCACTGGATGGATGTGGTTTTTAATGTTGAAGGAGATTACACACTGATGCAGCCACCATGGGACATAGTGACTGTAAGGTTTAGGACACGCAATAGCATGAGGATGGTCTGTGGAGTGTGAAGGGGAACTGAGATCTTCAGTGGGATAAGTGTGTGGGGGGTCTGTGTGTTTCCCCGAGGCAGCAGAGCTGTCTGGGAGTGGCTCATGGGGCTGTGCTCATGATGGATAAGTCATCGTTCTACTTCTCTACTCAGCCACTGTTTGCTCCCATGTAAGATGCATAAGAACGGCAGACCCTACACCAATTCCCATTTAACGAACATATTTTTCTCTGAAGCTGGCATTGGAATCTTAGCCAACAGCATCCTTCTTCTCTTTCACATCCTCAAGTTCATTTGTGGGCACAGGCCCAAACCCACTGACCTGCCCATTGGTCTCTTGGCCCTAATCCACCTACTTATGCTACTGACTTCGACAGTCACAGCTACCGACATTTTTATTTCTCGGAGGGGCTGGGATGACATCACATGTAAATTCCTTATCTACTTGTACAGAATTTTTAGGGGTCTCTCCCTGTGTACCACTAGCCTATTGAGTGCCCTCCAGGCTATCATCCTCAGTCCCAGAAGCTCCTGTTTAGCAAAGTTCAAGCATAAGTCCCCCTATCACATCTTACATGCCCTTCTGCTCCTGAATGTCTTCTATATGTTGATTAGCAGTCACCTCTTAGTATCTATTGTTGCCACACCCAACCTGACCGTATATAACTTTATGTATGTTACTCAGTCCTGCTCTATTCTACCTATGAGTTTCCTCATGCAAAGTACATTTACCACACTGCTGGCCCTCAGGGAACACTTTCTTATTAGTCTCATGGTCCTCTCCAGCGGGTACATGCTCATTCTCCTGTGCAGGCACAAGAAGCAGTCTCAACATCTTCACAGCACCAGCCTTTCTCCAAAAGCACCTCCGGAGCAAAGGGCCACCCGGTCCATCCTGCTGCTTGTGGGCTTCTTTGTGCTGATGTCCATCCTGGACAGCATTATCTCCTGCTTAAGAACTATGTTCCTGAATGATCCAACATCTTACTATATCCAACTCTTTGTGGTCCATATCTATGCCACAGTCAGTCCTTTTGTATTTATGAGCACTGAAAACCATATCGGTAACTTGTTGAGGTCCACATGTGAGAGGGTGGTAAATGTTTGAATATTCATTGATGGACAAGTTCCTTTAAGAAGAGCCAATGTGCTGGCATTAGAGCTGCCAACCATGGCATAATGTCTATGTGCTTTGGTATATATAAAAATATGAGGTTGTATTTTTTTCTCTTAAAATTATTTACTTTAACCCATGTGGTGGAAAACATGTAACAGAGAATTAAACCACATGCCCTTTGAGATATGGTAATATATATCTTATGTTATATATAAGTATATGATATATAACTCATTGTTATATATACATATATATAAATTTATATATACATGACAATGAGTCTTTAAGGGAGTCCTGTAAGGCCGCTCTTACACATCCTGGCCTGCGATAGCCCACACTACTTTTAAGCATGTGAATACTTCTAACACTTTTCAATATTTCAACTTCCTCTGCTATATCTATTTTTACAAATTAAATAAGAAAATATTTCTTGTCAACATAGTCATATGATTCAAAAGAAAAGGAATTACACACATAACTTTCAAAAGAGAACTATGTGCAAGGAACCACACAGTGACTTGTACAGCAATGCTAACAATAGCAGGATTTAAAATTCACAGAGATAGAAACAACTGTCTAGAATACATATGACCAAAACACAGTCTCTGCATGGTGTGGGACATTGTTCAATCTTGAAGTTTGAGGCAATTCCAACACAAGGTGCTGTGATTTAGAGCCCTGAAAAACAAAAAATAGCCACACCATACCCATCAGTTCTTGAGTTCAAGACTCCACCCAACATCTCTTGTGAAACCCAATTCCTCCTCCCTCTTGTCTGTACTATAAATGGTTTGTGGTAATTCTGTTGCATGGACAAACATTTCTGCTTATTAGGCAGTTAAGCAAGATCTATTAAGGAAGCTTAATAAGCCAATCAAATATGCGTCACTCAAGATTGCTATGCAGGGGGGACACAGGAACACAGGGGACTCAGCTTTTGGACCACTGTCCCACGGGCCTATTGTTTCCATATGATAAACGCTTCCTAGCTTCAGCTTGGGTGTCTCATCCCTTGGTTGTTTTCTGCAGCAATGGAACATAGACAAACCATGAAGTTGTTACAAAAAGTGAGATAACTCAGTGAGAGAAAAACAAGTATAATGTGGATTGACTGAAAGAGGGTGGAACACACAGTAGTTAAACTCAGAGAGACAAACACAATGCCATTTTTGGAGGTTCAAGAAAGCACATACAGGGGCTGGAGAGATGGCTCAGAGGTTAAGAGCACTGGCTGCTCTTCCAGAGGTCTTGAGTTCAATTCCCAGCAACCACAACCATCTGTAATGAGATCCGGTGCCCTCTTCTGGCGTGTAGGCATTCATGTAGCACTGCATTATAATAAATAAATAATTCTTTTTTTTAAAAAAAGAAAGCACACATGGAGATTTTTTTCTTGATGGACAGAATTTCAATTCAGGGGAAACAAATGCTGCAGATATGTGCAGTTATGGGACACAACGTATGCTCACTAGCACTCAGTCGTGCGGCCAGAGCGTTCAAATGGCATCTTTGTGTTGTGTGCGTCTTCATAATAAGAAAGACATATTATCTTCATACACTTATCCCAGAATTCTCTCTAGTTCCCCTGAAGTTCATTTGGTAAAGGTTTCACTGCAGAACAAGGACCTGAGTTCAGATATCCACACAATATCAGACAACGGCATCTTCCATCCCAGAGTTCTTTTGGGTAGAAGGGAGGGGAATTCACAGAGTCTCCACTACAGTTAAGACTGGTCCATACCATGGAGATGACAAGAGACCCAGCCTTAAACCAAGTGGAAAGTCTGGACCATTATAACAGGTTGAATTCTGACCTCTACATATCATGAAACATAGGTGTCTATATTAACAGACATGAAAACACACACACACACACACACACACACACACACACACACACAGATTAAGTAAAAAATGACAAGAATCTAAATATATCAGAATGTCATTGTTCTATAATAAAATGTTGTGACAAATGTGTCCCAAACATTCATTTGAAGACTGTTCTCTGCTTGTCCAATTCTTGCTCTTAGTCTCTCCTGGGAAAGCTAAGCCCCTTTTTGGCCAGCACCATGTGTGCTCAACTCTGGCAATCGGCCACATAGGCAGCTCCAGTGTTGTGAACTCCTGGGTGAAGTTTCCTGTGAATGCAAAACTCCAAATGTAAAGAGCAAATCAGAGACATGAAAATCTTTGATATTAGCCAATGCCATAAAGCCATGGGCTTGAAATATGCTTTGACATTAAATACCAAATCTTGTCACACGTGTGTTTCACATAGGTGACAGTACTGTGTGTCACTCAGCATTTTAAAAGACCAATTCACAGAAATGTGACAATGCTAAATTCATACTCCACACCTGGAAAAGTCACTGTTTTTACTTGTACATCACCGGTTTTTAGAATTTTTACTGAAGGAAATAACTCAAACACTGGGTGCTGGGAGGAGACAATTTGGTGAAAGATTTGGTTACATGTACTTTCTCCATGTTTAATCAGTCATGTTGCCTGACAACACATTACATGTCAACAAAATGAATTGGTATTTAATAGCTATAAATACCAAAACGACAAGAGTGATGCTGGGGGCAAGGGAATGAAGAGAATCCAAGGCCCAGTGACCTCAGTCTAACTAGCATTGGTCAGGACACACATGCCTCCACTGACCTGCAAAGGATATTGGGAAATGTAGTTTTTATGCTCAGCCAAAAGCCAGAGAGCTTCTGTATCATTCCAGCAACTGATATTTCTCACCATAGCTTTGTCTGCAGTGATAACAGTCACATGTACTCTCTCACACATATCTCTTACAGTGCCTACCATGGACCAGGCACACAGCTTCCTGCAGAGTGTCTCCTGGTGAGAGACACAAAGTCAGATCCCCAACACACAAGTAAAGGTAGGACATGTATGCACATGCTTGTAATCCAAACACCAAAAGGGGAGCCTCACTGCCCTTCCAGTCTAGTTGAAACAATGACTCTTAGGTTCAGTGACTCCTAGGCAATTGCTCTCATCCTTCCTAATGCTGCTACTCTTTCATAGAGTTCCTCATGGTGACCCCCCACTATGCTGTCCTCCCATTGTCTGGAAGGACCCTATCCAGGAGCATGGGGAATCTTCAATTCAATTCCATTGATCCACATGTCTGTTATTATGCCAATAGCAAGCTGTTTTCATTACTATAGCTCTATAGTAGAGCTTGAAGTCAGGGATGGTAATGCCTCTGGGAGTTCCTTTATTGTATAGGATTGTTTTGGCTATTCTGGTTTTTTGTTTGTTTGTTTGTTTGTTTGTTTTTTTCTAGCTGGGAGGCTAGTCCTCACCTCCTGGTCTGATTAGTGCAGTTGCTGTCTGTGTCTCAGGGAGCCACTGAGGTCATTGCTGCAGACATTTTATGCTTTGGAGAAGATGGGGTGACACCTTATGCAAACTTACTATGTTTTTGCAGGGATTTTAGGGGCCCCCTCTCTCTGTGTGCTTCTAGCCTGCTCAGCATCCTCCAGGCCATCACCCTCAGTTCCAGAACCTCCTGTCTAGCAAAGTTCAAACATAAATCTGTACACCATGTTTTAGGTTGTCTCCTTTTCCTCAGTGTCTCTCTGCATCCATTAGCAGTCACCTCACATCCTACGTGACTGTGACCTCTAATTTGACGCTACATACCTCACTGAATCTTGCTCTCTCGAACCCATGAGTTACTCCGTCAGGCATACATTTTATATATTATTAACTGTCAGAGATGTCATCTTTGTAGGTCTCTTGGCCCTCTCCAGTGGGTACATGGTGACTTTCCTATGCAGACATAAGAAGCATTCCCAGCTTCTCCACAGCACCAGCCTTTCCCTCAAACCATCCCCAGAACAAAGAGCCACAGAGACCATTCTGTGCCTCATGAGTTTCTTTGTTGAGACGTCCACCTTGTTGAGATGTCCTCCTCGGACAGCATCATCATCTACTTAAGAAGGTGATATTTTTGTATTGTGTCCATATTCTCACAAACCATAGCTATGCCACAGTCAGTCCTTTTTTGGTTCTCAGTATTGAAAACCGTATAATTAACATTTTCAAATCCATGTTTTGAAAGCATCATATTACTCACAGATAGCTTTGTTCCCTTAAGATGTGCCAGTGCACTGACACCAGAGCTATGGATTCTAGTGTAGTGTGTTGGAGCTTCATTTAAATGAAAATGCAGTGATGCATTTTTTTGTTGTTAAACCTATTTATTACCAAATGTGTGGATGATATTCATAAAAGAATAACCACATGCCACATACATTAGTGTTTTATACTTCTCTTTGTTTCTTTTGGGGAGACATAAAGTGGCCTAGATTATCCACAGCAATTTAAAATATGTGACAACTTGTGATTGTCTTCAATCGTTCAGTTCCCTCAGTTTTTCTGTTTTTCCAAACTATGAATGCAAACACTTATTATTATAATTATCAAATGACCAGAAATTCTCATAATAAAAATGTGTTCAGTTACCTTCACCCAGATGCAAAGAATATTCTTGTGAAAAAAACTCTTGAAGTGGCAAAATGTGATTTTACAAGTTTTAAAGCATGGAAGACTTATCCCAAACAATGATTATTTTCTAACAGTCCAAGTCTTAGCTTCAGTTTCTTAGAGCAAGCAGAGAAGTTCATCCTAGAGCTTCCAGAGGCACTATTGCCTGCTGCTCAGCCTTTGAGAGATCTTCAGCCCAGGCACCCTTGGCTACAGTGAGTTATAATAACCTGTTTCAGAAAACAAAATTTAACTGAAAAGGCTCTCAGCCTCCCCTTAGCTCCAGTGCTGTGACTTTCTGGATCAAGTGTTTCTTATGACATTAAACTCTTAAATTCAGTATAAATAGGACATGCAGTCACCCAGCATGACAGCAGTCAATGCCATGGGAGCAACAGACTTGTCATGCATGGTTAATTAGAAAACCAAATAAGATATAAAATGCTACCACAGGTATATCTTATATATGTGATAGAATTATG